GCCCTACTCTGTCTGTCATACTAAAAACAGCTTCTAAAGAAATTTAAAGTTGATTACTGTAGAAAATATAATGATAGATTAATTTGAAATTCCAGTTAAATTCACATCTATTTTAACTGCTTTCTTTTTTAGAATAACGGTGGCTCTGGCAACAACAAGTCATGTACAGCAAAAGGTGAAGATCAGCCCACTGAAGCTGACCCACTGGCATGGTGGATGACACACACGGAGGAGTTACCTCTTCTCAGCAGCGTTGCAAAAAATATCTCTGCATCCCAGCGACCAGCGTCCCCTCAGAGAGGGTTTTCGGTTCTAGTGGACACATCCTCTCACCTCACCGCTCCAAGCTAAATACAGGAAAAGTGAACATGCTGACATTCCTGCATCATAACTTGCACTAAGAGTAATTTATGCAGTAAACCTCCAAAGGTGTTGAGAACTTGATTGAATTTTAATTTCTTGTCAGTTTTTTTAAGTTTGTTAGATTAAGGACTGCATTTATTGTTCACAAAGACTGTATCTTAACTTGCACGTAACTTGCACTAAGAGAAATGTATAGTTAATCTCCAAAAGTGTTGAAATTTAATTTTGAGTTCCTGTCTGTTTATTTGTTTATTTTTAGTTTAATTTAAGGATTGCATCAAGGACTGCATTTATTTTTATTTAAAAGTAATTCAGTTAATATTTTAAATTCATATTTAATTTGTTCAGTTTGGTCCATGTTTTATATATTGTTTGAAAATAAATAAGTTAAATAGAAAAGTCTCTTCCTGTTTTTGTTTTTAAATATGCACTTTTCAAAAGAACACCTTTTAGAGCTGTAATCGTAATACCGTGATATACCGTGAAATCGTGATATTTTTGCCCAAGGTTATCATACCGTCAGAATTTCATACCGTCCCATGCCTACTCACACTGATAACCTATCCACATCCTCATTTACGCAGAATGCTTTGCGTGTAAATAAAATGGATCTGTCCATGTTAAAATATAGGCTGTGTCCAAAACAGTGGGGCACGTCCTCCGAAGGCTGAATTTGTCAGCCGCACACGTTACAGCAACAGAGGCCGTCCAGAACCGAAGACTCCTCCGATGCGGCCGACAAATGCGTCCTTCCGTTGGCCCGAATTGAAGGACTGATCCAATGGATCCTTCCCGGCCCATCATATCCCATAATGCATTGCGGCCCGATGGGAGATTTTTTTATGCTAGCTATGGCGGAC